CCCCGTTTCCACGTAATCCGTCGTAACGGGCACGATAATAAACCTTCTATCCGACACTGTGGTTCATAGAGATTGGTTTCGATCCATATGTTTGATCGCACTTCTTCGCGCATATCTCTTTCATCTGCGAAACCTGCATGCACTGTCCTTATTGTCTTTGACATTATCTTCTTCACTATCTTGCCGCTACTCTTCACGGGTGTCAGCGGCCCCGCTACCTGTCCATGTGGCAGCTGTATCTTTATTGTTTCATGAAGAGCGCTCACTTTAATTTCAATTTTCATTTATATCATGATTTGAAACATTTGCTAAACCTAAATCTATTTTCTAAAACTCAGAAATGGCCTACGGGGATGATGATGTTCTATCTATACCTTTTCGAATATTTGTTTATATCGTAGCGGGGCTACCTTTATCTGCACTTATTATATGTGTTCTGTCTTCATTGTTACTGCATTTCGATGCCGCTACCAGAACGCACTGTGAAGTTGAGAACTGGTATGTTTTGCCACCGATTTTACGTTCTTCACCAACTACATCATTTGAGGTTACCGTCGATTTCGGCCGCGGTGTCAACATATGCTCCTGAAATGTACATTTGGCGAATGTTTATCGCAGCACATGCAGGACCAAGATTTATCGTAGCATTCGCAACCAGGTATGCAGCTTAGTTTTGCCTTTCAGCAGTTTTTCGCTTCATTTTTCTCATTGTTTCATTTCGCAATTTTTCTTACTATTTATTCGTATCATTTCGAGGACCTATGTATGTGCTGATTTTTTCATGGACGCGGTTTCGATTTTCTTGAAGGAACCTTTATACGGCTATTTCTATCTATTTTGGGAATAATCGTCTGAGGGTCCCGTCAACATTCCGGAAAGCCCTGAAAAACTCCAAATAGACTTGGAGTCACGAACCTGTCGGGCGTATTCCTCGGCAGAAGTTTTGGTGCTGCTTCTATGACCAAAACTTTGTTGTGCATAGCCTCAATTTTTAGCGCGAGAAATTCTGTACTGGTCTTCTTATGATCGAAACGAGAATTTTGATTAGGCGCTTCAACCAATATGATCGAACGGAAAGTTAGACTTGATGAGGCAAAAGCACGGGATATTCTCTTTGAGCCGTAAGGCCTTTGGCACTAATAACACCTCACTGAAATCAATTGGGTATACTTGCAGACTGTTTTGTCTTAGTGAAACAAGATTAGTAGATAATTAGTGAGGCATAAGCTGACATCGAGCATGGTTAGAATACCTAACTGGTTTTGCAAAGTTGTGCATTTTTCTCA